TCGTGGACTATCAGGCTACTAGTCGAGTTTTGGAATTGATTTGGGTTGCTATTGGCATTGCAATTTGTAAATATTTGCGCAACAAAAATCAAAGAATGAGTGATATTGAAAATAGTCAGAATGATGTACTCAGAGTTTGTTATCATTACTTTTGTTGGATCGGTTATTGGATTGGGTATAAGATTGGCATTTGTCGGGGAAACTATGAAATGCAAATAAAAATCTTATGGCATTTGCTCCCCTCTTTCCAGTTGCAGGTAAAATTAACTACTCTAGTTCAGTAACTCATTTTTTATCTTATATTGACGAAGATCCACACCTCCAAGAATTACTCCATTACGTCTGCTCTGTTAATTTAACTTAACTTGGGCACTTCTTTGCTTTTGATGAAGCATTGGAACGTTTTGAGGTAATGTTTGTAAAACAAAATATTGGGGGTAAAACAGTAGACTCAGAGGAACTAAAGCTTCAAATCAGTTCTGCACAAGCAGAAAGGGAACAACTATAGTTGTTGATTTTTGAATACATGGGAAATATGGTTACTGTTAAAGAAGAAAGAGCTGTGTTATCAAAAAAAGATGCTTTATGGAAATTAGCAAATGAATTATTCGCTGCTCTCTCTCTTCCAGATCCAAAAATGCATCAAATTTTTAAATATGCACCAGAATTAATGCCAACAGGATTTAATAATATTTATGCATGTTATGATCTTGGAGTAGCCTGTCTTCAAGAAATTTTGCGACAGGACGTATATAAGGTTGAACCAAGAAATACAATGGGCCGTAGGAAACTCAACATAGTAGTACACAAGCTGCTTTCACTATTAGAACACCAAAAAAAGATAAGCAAACAAATAAGCTAACAATAAATAGCAATTCACAAAACAGTCAGATTGAAAATAACAATGTAAGTGCCGGGCAATTGTATGAACAAGAAGATACAAAGCGTCAACGTAGAGTTACAAATGATAATAAAAAAAAAATTCTTGAGAATTTACTTAAATATGATAATTTCCCTGAAGATAAAGCCATCGAAATATTAAGACAACTTCAGGAACAAAGTAATGACTGAGACATGTAACATGTTCGAATCTATTGGAATAATAATCGCTACAACAAGAAAAAAAAAGTTTCTCCTGATATGTAAACCAACAGTATAGATTTTATGATTTTTAAAACAATCCATATTTTTTTATGGCGAATTTATAGTATACAAAATTGATAATAATTACTACTATTTGACATCATAACTTCAATTAAAATGAACAATCAAAGTATCAGTATACGTACAATAATGTTGATTTTGTGTAATACTGGATATTAAGGAAAAAAACTTAAAGGTAACTTGATTGTGTTTTCACTTTATTAAGATACAAAATAAATTTACCTTTCTTTAATTAGATTACTGTTCAAGGGTTGAACCTGTTCAGGCCTTTGGATTTAAACTTAAGGGATAGTTATTTTATGGTAACTGTAGGTATTAAACTTAGTGCTATCGTTTTGTTATTACTATCATATTTTAATATTTAACTTTTTTAAAATGTTCAATGAAATTTAAATAGAATTTTTAATTGTATCAGTATAATTTGAACAATATAAAGGTAATTTTAATATATTTACCGTTGACCACTGCTTACAGTACTCGGGGGTCTTATTCAAAAACCCCAATTGAATGGCACCTATGGTATTGTATGAACTAGGTACTATATTTGGGAATTATGAGGTGTTTGTTATTTTGCTACAAAATTTTTGAGAAATGAATGAATTAACGTAAGCATAAGTAAGTATTTCATTCAATTTTTGAATACTTGATATTTTGTTATAGTTAATTCTAACTAATGTGTTAAATTATATTAAAAATAACAAATCAATAGAGTCATGCCCGAGTCTTATTTAAAGAAACAGACCAGTAAGGACAGTTAATAATATCTGGGTCTTAGCCATGGTGGTAGTATTTTTAGAGAATACTATAAGCAGTGGTCAAACAGGAGGAACCGTCGATATGCAACATATAAAAAATTTATTTTACAATACCAGATCATTCCACTAGTCATGTTATGATTATAATCCCACACCATTTTATTATAATAATAAGAAAGTGGTGTAGTATTATAATCATAACATGTATTAGCCAAATGATCTGGTATTGTAAAATAATTTTTTTATATGTTGCACACCAGGTGAAGGATTAGTCATGTAACATCAATAGTTCCTCCTGTTCAGTAGTCAACAGCAATAACTTTGTATATTATCTCTTAGTAATTTTAATTTTAATATATATAATTAATTTTAATATATATAATTTAATCTATCTCAAAAGCAACTTTTAAATTCGATCCACGCTTGGAATAAAAGAAACTATGATCATATTTGAGCTCAGAATGCAAATGATCGTATAATGTTTTGGATTTAGGCTGTGGTCACGTATTGGGTTAATTTTTTTTTGGTTCAATTAAGTTTTAAATGTAGAACTCAACATAAATATCAACAATGCATATAGTTTATACAATTAGTATTCATATTTTTAAATTATTTTTCTTGTTATGAATTGATGTGTGCATCAAGTTGATTTTAATTTTAGGAATTTTATTATAGTGATGGTTGATTTTGCTGCATAACTGCAGTACTGGACATAGCATTTGTGGTTTATTTTAAAAATAAAAATATTATAATGCTCTTATCGTTATATATTTACAAAACATACAAGGGTTAATCTTGCAAACCAAACCTTTTCAATTTCAAATAAGTTCTTAATTTATAGGTAAATAGAAAATTTTCCAATCTTTAAGCCATTATTTCAAAGATGTCCAGATATAATTAGATAAAAGATACTTTAGATAACAGTAAAGAAGTTTTTGTAAATATTTTGATTAATGTTATTGAAGATTACACTTTAATCTCGTGACCTATGTGACGATCGTTAACGATCGAATCGAAGACAAAAGCCCCTATATTTGAAATAAAGAAGATTACTTTTAGCTTCCTACTGAAGCTTAGAAACCACTGTTAGAAGGATAGTTCAAAGCTATACTTATCTTAACTTCTAGTAACGCTGCAGCAAGACTCAAAAGACCTTAGAACTCGGACCAAGTCTCTCTACGCTTGCCAAATCAAGGTTTTAAGAGTCTTTGGATTGTAGATTAGTTTCTTGATATTGAAGTTTAGATATTAGCCAATTAGTTATCACCCTTTCAACTTATTAGCGTTAGTTTTAGCATTAGCATTGGTGTTAGCAAACTAATCAAAAGGATAATAAATTATAATAATATTTTTTTTGACTCTTACTGTTATCGTTATATTTTTTTTATAAAAAATATTCAATACATATAAATATTATTTTCTACTATATATATCGATATTATGTACTTTGTGTTAATAATGATAAATCTGGATGAATACTTAACGTTAAGGTGCTTTAATGTTAAAAGCTTGGAAATTGGTAGCTGTTTTCCTATCACTATTTATCAAATAAAATCAGCTTTAAAGAATTAAAAACTTCTTAACGTTAGTATAATCATATCAATATTATCGTTATATAGTAAACTTTGTTTACTGTTACAAAGTATAATGATAGTGATAGTGAAAATTTTAAGTTAAATTTTATTCGTTACATGCACTGTACTATATTCCCGATACCAATACTGATATGTACAGTATAGAAAATTTAATCTTTAGAGATAAAGATAACGATAATGATAACGACATCGATACTGAAAATTTTCTTAAATTATTAATTTCGATAACGATAATGATAGTCTAGAATTTTCAATCTTTTTGTATAGCGATAGAAACTAAGAAAATGTATAGCATTATGAGTTTGGAGCGTATCATATAATAGTCATCTCATTGCACAAATGTGTGAATGTGCATGTTTTTGCTATACTAAAATTACAAATTTGAACACGCGTGCGGACAGACATAAATTTTCAAAATTATGCTTTTGATGTAATAGTGATAGTGATAGCTTAACAATGAAAGGTGAATTAAAAATGTAGCTATTGATACATTAAAACGTAACTTTTGTATTACTATGTATAAGCCATAAAAGATGCTCCGGACAATAATATATAAAGAACAATGTTTGCTTAATACAGTTAGACCTCTCTAACGCTAAGCACACCCTCTATAATGATAACGATAAGTGCGTACTCTTTCTAAATATATGCTCAAGTGCTGGCCCAAATACATCTAAGTGCACACCCTTGTGACTATACTTTAATAACGTGCATATAGAAATAATAAGAAAAAGTGCATTTATAGAGGTCAAGTATATATTTGGGCCGGCGCTTGAGTGTGTATTTAAAGAGGTGTGCACTTATAGAAAGTGTACTTAGCTGTATATACTTGACCTCTATAAATACGCTTTTTCTTATTATTCTCTATATGCACGTTATTAAAGTGTAGTTCCAAGAGCATGCTAATTTTTAATATGCTAGTTGACTTTTATTTTATCGCTATCACTATTGTTAATGTTTTTTCGATTTTCTGCATTATACAGCCAAACTCTAATACTAAGTGCATCCTCTATAATGATAAGTGTATATTCTCTTTAAATACATACTCAAGTGCCAGTCCAAATTTATACTTGACCTCTATAAATGCACTTTTTCTTATTATTCTCTATATGCATGTTATTTAAATATAGTTCTAAAGGCATACATTTAGCATTAGCATTAGAGAGGTCTAACTGTACATATGCACATACATATATATGTATATATTTTATACAAAGATTTTTGCTAAGTTTGCATTTATTGATGTAGCTTCCCTGTATATATCAATATTGATATTTCAAATTTGAGCAAAAATCTCTCATGCTAATTTAAATTTGTAATTTGCGATATCTTATTGTTATTGTTAACATTAACATTAACATTAAATCCAAATTTCAAAAAATCTTATAAATATAATTCAATTTGCTTTTTCCTTGCTATTGCTATTTGCAAGCTTTTACTATTT